TGTGTGTGTGTGTGTGTGTGTGTGTGTGTGTGTGTGTGTGTGTGTGTTGAGAAACAGGATTTTCCATGTTGCTGAGGCTGGTCTCAAACTCCTAAGCTCAAAGCGATCTGCCAGCCTCGACCTGCCAAAGTTCTGGGATTACAGGTATGAGCCACTGCACCTGGCCTGTGCTGTGTACTTCTTAACAAAGGAGCAATTACTTTTTATTAGAAAATGAGAATTCTAAAATTCATTATATTTCTCTTTTTCTTTTGTCTTTCTGGAAGCTCAGAGTCACAGGTGAAACTCACTTCTAATAACTGTATTACCCCTGATGCCCAATAGCCTCTTTTCCTTTCTGAAATCTTTTTCCTCTATTTTAACTGTGTATAACAGTGATTAATCATGAGCCTCTCTGAGTATATTTTGGATAGAGATAAAGAATAAAATGCCAATGAATGAAGTGAGGGGTGTTTTCTATTTTGGTCTTTATTCCCATGGACCACAGAGGCTGGCTGCCTAAGCAGGGCTAAATTAGTAACTGTAGTCTAGTGACTCAAAAAGTGTTATTAATTAAAACAAAAAACCCACAGTCTTCATTTAGCTTTGTGTTTTTGTACCTACAGATGTGTCTGGTGTTCTGGGAATTCAAGCAAAATAGCAAGGCTACCTCGTTTGACTTGGAAGGAGCTAGAAGTGTCTGCTTACTTCATCATTCTCTCACCTGTGAATTGAGTTCTAACCCTCAGGCAGGTGCCAGGTTGATCCTATGTTAAGCCTAAGTTCCAGGAGATCAAGTGCTTGTGTTTCAGAAGGCAAACAGAAGGCATCAAGCTGCCAGCAAAGGGTGGCTCACTGAAATATGTGAGATCAACGAATACATCGCTGTCCAGATATTCAAGAGCTAACTGTAGTTTCAGCCTTCCCATAACCTTTCGCCGCAATAAAGAATAAGCCTTCCTTTATCTCAATCCTCATTAATTCTCCTGAGCCTGGATGTTCCTAGAGGTCCGTGGTGCATGAGCCATTTTGAAAGTTCATGCGCATTCTTGGTGTTTGTGGTAAGTCTCTTATACCAGAAGCAGAACGCTCTGAATTCTCCCTTTCCAGAGCACTTGCTGCTCAGATGTGACCGTAGGACTGGCACTGGCTCTTCCAGGGGCAGATATGAGGATGTGCCATGCTGAGGGATATGAAGCACAATGGCAGCTGGAGAGTTTCCTTGGGGCATCTGAGTCAAAGAAGGCTGCTCCCTCTGGAGGGCCAGGAGGCATCCTGACCACCTGCTGCTCATTGACACGAGTGCACACATAGACGCACACACGCACACATGCACGCACGCACGCACACATGCACGCACGCACACACATGCACACACACACATGCACGCACGCACACACATGCACGCACGCACATGCACACACGCACACACACATGCATGCACGCACACACATGCACGCACGCGCACACACGCTCGCTCCCCCTTCTCTCTCCCCCACACTCAGACTCTCACATGCTTACACACACATACAGACACACACGCACAAACAGGGGGTTCTTACACTGTTTTCCATCATTTAACCCCTCAAAGGGCGGGTGTTCTGCTTCCGGCCCCACATTGCTTCTCCCCACAGCAGTCCTGGCTGAGCCTGAAGGAATGGATGTCTTGCAGATAGGGACCAGATCCATCTTCAAGTAAGAGATAACTTGGCCAGCATCTTGAGATGATACCATCTTTCAGCCCCTTTCAAGATTGTCCCTTTCCCCTTAGAGACCTTCATCCTTCCAGGGGTATGGCTTCCACTGCTTGGCTTGTGTATGAGAGCTGAGAGTCAGCACAAGGCAGCTGGGAGCTGGATACAACAGCCGGTCTTGATTCTGATCGTCCTTACTTTGTGTAGAAACTGGCCATCAATCAGCACCTCCCAGAGCTGCCCTAAAATCACTTGCCCATAGGGAGACTCTGTGCAGGGTTGCTATGAACAGCTGTAGGAGTTGTACACTGCGCAACCCTAGAGAACACCTCTAATATCATCGTTACTATAAATTTGTATTTTTATTTTGACAAGTTGCTGACAGTTGGCATTAAGATGTTTTATTCCAATAAAATCAGTATGTTATGACCCATTTTCTGAGGAATGGGAGTCATGAGGATGGTCATGAGGAAGGGATTTCTACCAATTCAAATAAAGTTGCCACGTGGCTAGTGGGAGCCTAGGCGGGGATGGGGCACAAAGGCTGGTCAGCAGGCTCTGAGTTCCTTGGCGGGGGTGTGGAGGAGGCTGTGACTCTTTGAAATAGCTAATTTATGGCTAATTGACTTCACTCGCCACTCCCACCCCACCTTTTTTATAAGAGCTCTTAAAGACCCTTCCTGTCTTTTGGGCACTGTGTCCTCATCTGTTGACAGAATGTCTCCTGACACGAGCCTCGGAGACAGCTGGACCCCCTTTCCGCTCAGTGTGAGGAGCTGCACCAAATGGTTTCCACAGCTTTGCTTTGCATGAGGCATGTGGCGACGTCCCTGGTGGGGTAAGACACACACTGAATGGGGCTGCTGTCTCAGCGACAGCTCACAGAGCATCGCCATGTGGAGTGGGGAGAGTGGGACCCAGATACCAGAGAGACAGCTTTTCTTCCAGATCCTCACCTGCCAAGACTTACAAGCTGCACACTGGGCCCAGAGAAAACAGAGTGGACAAGAAGCCATGAATGAGGTGTGTAGATGATGAAAACGTGTTCATGTCACGCAGAAGAGACGGAAGCCAAAGAGGAAGGCAAGCCAGTAACACACCAGGATCAGAGGCCCAGTGTGTGTGTGTGTGTGTGTGTGTGTGTGTGTGTGTGTGTGAGAGAGAGAGAGAGAGAGAGAGAGAGAGAGAGAGAGTGTAAGAGAGGCAGAGGGGCAGACAGGGAAAAGAGGAGAGGGAAGGACACAAGAAATTGGGATTCCCAGGGAGCCCCATTTTCTTTCTAGCTGAGGACACTGAGGTACTGCCATGTCTTTGTCCCTTCACCTAGATCTGTAAAATGGGGACCCGATGTGAGAAGCTGATACAAGGGACTCACAGCAGTGGGTAACACGTGTCTCACAACCAGACGTGGGTTTAGGGATGACTAATGATTCTCCCTGACCAGCTTCTCCAACTCTTAAAAAGAAAGCATACACAATAAAAAGAGCACGGGACCCAGAGTCGGAAAACCTGACTTAGCTACAAATTCACTGCCTTATATGTCATGTCACCTTTCTGAGCCTCCGTTTCTCCCCTATAAAACAGAAGCCAAAATACCTTCCCGAGACATCTCACACGGGTCATTAAAGAAGGTATATGAGAGAACTCTGTGAGGATTATACATACATAAGGTTGAATAATATTAATTTCTGCATTTCTAAATGTCTGCATAAAGGAAGCATAGAAAACAGCCCAGCTGTCAAGTGGCTGCTTGACCATGAGGGGTCTTTTTTTGCTTTCCTGGAACTCAGGATTCTCGACAGTGAAATCGTGAGGTAGGACAAGATGTTCTTCATGGTCCCTCTGAGAGCCACCTGTCTGTGATACCAGGACAGGAATTACATGGCGAATGGGTGAGATCAACTTCAGAGTATGACCCCAAAGATAGATATCATCGTGATTTCAAGATGGTTCTTGCATGGAACAGAATCAAGAATGGTAGCTTTGGAGGGCTTGTGCATTTTCTTTCTCTTTCTCTCTCTCTCTCTCTCTCTCTCTCTCTCTTTCTTCTTTGACAGAGTCTCGCTCTGTCACCAGGCTGGAGTGCAGTGGTGCGATCTCAGCTCACTGCAACCTCTGCCTCCCAGGTTTGAGCAATTCTTCTACCTCAGCCTCCCGAGTCGCTAAGATGACAGACACATACCACCAACCCCAGCTAATTTTTGTATTTTTAGTAGAGACGGGGTTTCACCATGTTGGGCAAGCTGGTGTTGAACTCCTGACCTCAGGTGATCTGCCTGCCTCAGCCTCCCAAAGTGCTGGGATTATAGGCATGAGCCACCATGCCCGGCCAGCTTGTGCATTTTCGTGTCCTAGTTCTGGTCCTACTGCTGAATTTATGTATGTCTTCTTTTCTTATGTGAGTCAAGAGGCAATTTATCTCATGAAACTGGGCAACATTAATCTGTCTTGATCTCACTAGAGTTCTGATTATTCTTCTTTGTTAAAATGGAATGCTAAACTGTTAATAATTTATTTTCTATCATTTGAAACTGTCTCCATTTGGCAGGATGGTAGCTCCTATGTCTCCAGGATTCATTCCAATGTGGTCCAGGAATTTTTTCTTATATTTAATCATCCCTAACTTCAAGTGAGATAATAAACATTTACTATGGGTAGGAACAAAGGATAGAAGTCCTAGGCTTCGTTCTAGCATTGGTCCTATCTGGCTGGCACCATCAAACAATTATTGATTGTGATTCTACTCTGCTACACGCCTACATGAGCTCCAAGGGGTAGGCCTGAGGTGGTCCAACGTAAGCCAGCCACCAGGTTTCAGTTTTCCTGGCTGGGTTATTCACACTGAGGGTAACAGTTGACCAGACACAGTTAGGAACTGTTTGTCTTGAGCCAGGAAGTGAGAAAGAGATTGACAGTCAGATGGGGGAAGGAGAGCAGAGAAATGGTTGAGAAAAACGTTAAGATGCTTGTCTACCAGGTAATGTAATGCAATCCTCTCTAATTTCATATTTCTAAGGACTGGCCTTCAGTAGAAAATTAGGGACCCCTTGTATAAGTTGAGGAAACAAAGAATGCTGCTTAGTGATCACAGAATCTAATGTTTTCTTTTGATGGGTGAGTCATCTATGGCCTAGTGTTGTTCAGAGACTTTTTCCCCAGGTTATTTTACAAGTTTGATTAAAATTGCCGAATTTTCACCAAAGCCAGTGATAGCCATGGTAAGGTGTTACTTACCTTATCATACAATTTAATATAATTTTAAGTATTTGCAGCCATATAGAAGCTGTTCTCCAGGCCTCAGTTTCTTTAACTATAAAATGATGTAGATGGACTGGAACACCTCTAACCCCCTGTCCAACTCTAACTCCCTATTCTTAGAAGGCTTAAACATCTGAAAACCTAGAGGAATAGATCACTGTCTAATGGGGACACACAAATTAACGGGAGAGCTGTTCTGTGAGTGGTTGATGCTGTAGACCATTTCTCCCAGTCCCACGTCTTGCTTTGCAAGCCCAGGGGATAAGTTACCTGTCACCAGCTATTCTGCTGAGGAGGGGCTCCAGCCATCCTGGGTGACACTCGCAGTGGGCATCCATGAAGACCAGCACATCCCCCGTGGCCCTGGTGGCCCCAAGCATCCGGGCCCTGATGGCGCCCAGCCTCTTGTTGCTCCTGAGTAACTTCACCCCCTCCAGCCTGGCCACATATTCGCTGAGAGCAGACTTGAGCTGTCCTGGAATCAACAGGGTTGCAGTCAATGGAATGATAAATGCCACAACCGATGAGGCTGTGACTAAGATAATTGTCTGCAACTCTCTCTTGGAAGCTGTGGTGAGCCAAAGATCCTAAGAATCAAAAACATTATTACAGTGTGGTTGTTACTAAGATGTAAGATGCTTCCTTAGGTTGGGATGGGCCATGATCGTCTCCAGTAAAAACTAGAGGGATGATGTCAGAAAACCAGGAAAGGGAGAACTTGCTAACATTCTTCAAATGCAGCAGGAAGAATGTAGCAGATATTGTTGGCATCCGATATGGTTTGGTTCTGTGTCCCCACTAAAATGTCATCTTGAATTGTAATCCCCATAATTCCCACATGTCAAGGGAGGGACCTGGTGGGAGGTGATTGGATCATGGGGGCAGTTTCCCTCATGCTGTTCTCGTGATAGTGAGTTCTCATGGGATCTGATGATTAGGTAAGTATTGGACAGTTCTTCCTTCTCTCTCTCTCCCTCCCTCTCTCTCTCTCCCTGCCATGTAAGACATGCTTCCCCTTCTGCCATGACTGCAAGTTCCCTGAGGCCTCCCCAGCCATGTAGAACAATGAGTCAATTCAACCTCTTTTCTTTTTTTTTTTGAGACGGAGTTTCGCTCTTGTTACCCAGGCTGGAGTGCAATGGCACAATCTGGGCTCACCGCAGCCTCCGCCTCCTGGGTTCAAGCAATTCTCCCACCTCAGCCTCCCGAGTAGCTGGGACTACAGGCGCGCGCCACCATGCCCAGCTAATTTTTGTATTTTTAGTAGAGATGGGGTTTCACCTTGTTGAGCAGGATGGTCTCGATCTCTTGACCTCGTGATCCACCCACCTCGGCCTCCCAAAGTGCTGGGATTATAGGCATGAGCCACCGCGCCCAGCCTAAACCTCTTCTTATAAATCACCTAGTCTCGGGTAGTTCTTTACAGCAGTGTGAGAACAGACTAATACCGTGTCCTACTCTAATTCCCTGAGCTCCCATTAACTGATTTGGTTTGATTTGCATGTCCCCAGCTGCTGTGGGTGATAACTGAAATCTGAACCCTTCCCTGGAGACTTGCCTTGGGGTATTAAAATGGTCTGTGCTGCAGGTGCCAGAGATCATGTAGGATGCCGCACCCAGCCCTAGGTGCTCATGGTCAATGACTGACCATGGCAGGGTAGAAAGCAAGACTGACTCCACAGTGCAGGCCATGCCCCAGGGTTCCCCATGGGATCAGGCTATGACTGGACTTCACCTGAAATCACATCTTTGTTCAGCTCTTCCCACCGTCTCTTCTGCATCACCCATTCCCCTACAGGTTTCCCCTGAGAGTATACCCTCAAAAAAATGACATGCACATGAATCTCCCTCTCAGGTCCTGCTTTCAGGAAACCAACCTAAGACAGTGAGTGGTCAAGGAAGTCAAAGGCAAAAGGGTCCATTCAATTTGGTAGCTGGTAGGAGGTTGGTGGTACTGATCAAACAGGTCTCACTGCAGTTGATATGAGAGTCTGTAACGCAGTGGGTCCAGGAGCGACAACGGGAGATGAAGGCCTGAGAGCAAGGGTCCTGACAGTGTTTGGGGAAGGCTGATTCTACAGGGGAAGGAAGAGAAAGAGGCCCAAGAAGAAGGTGATGGAAAGGATGAGAGAAGCTTGTTAGGTTTTGTGTTTAAGGTAAGAATAACTCGATTGTGTGGGTGTGTGTGTTTGTGTGTGTGTTTGTGCATGTCTGTGTACACACTCATATGCCAAGAGGAAGAAGCCAGTGGAAATGGAAGGAATAATGTGTTCACAGAGAAGCCGTGTTCTCTATGAAGTCTTGGGAATCGGTAGTCTCCAGCCCACTGGACTAAGACCTCCCCAAGGGCAGCAGTTGTACCTAATGCATCTCTTCTGCTCCAACCCTCAGTGCAGGGCCGGGCTCACAGTAGGTACTCAGTACATGTGCATTGAACAGAACTGAGCCAAAAAGCAAGAATTTCTCCCCCGTTCCCCAGCCCAGAGGTAGCCTTAACTGTGGATAGAAACAGCCTGGCTGCTTTGGTAGCTGGATCTCTGGGAAGGCTGGAGAAGGTTAAGGCTGCCCCGCCTGAGAGCCCACAGTAGACTTCCTATACTCCTTCCCTGAGAAGCTGTCTTCTCAGCACTGCGGATTTTCTGCAGGAGGAACAATGTCCTCAGCAGTGCAGGAAAGGATTCCCAGTCACTTGGCTGTTACAATCTCAGTCGTAAAATGCTGTGCTGATTTGTTACTTTATAACTATTTTTCTTCTAAGATTGTCAGTCCTGGTCCACTCCCTAGAGAGGAATCTCTGTTAGTCAAGGAATTAAAATTTCTGGACTTGCATGTCTGAAAACCAACCCCTCAGTGACTTCATTGGATTTAACATTGCTGAACATAACATCTTCCTCACCATTCATTCTCCCCTTCCACTGCACAGACAGAACTTGGATGTTGCTCAGGGCACCAAAAGCAGTTATCTCCCAAGATCTGCTCTCACTGCTGGCGGCACCTCTGGCAGAAATAAACTGGATGAGAGAATTCTGGGAAAGCTATTGTTTTACTATTTATTTTTCCTAAGAGGACAAACGGGATTGGCCTCTGCCTATCTCTTCTTCACCTTTTTCCTACCTGAAATGTGTATGTGATGTCCAGAGGCAGAGCAGCCCTGTTGTGATTATGAGGCCAAAACTACTCTGTAAGCATGGTGAAGTGGAAAACAGATGAAGGCAGGTGCCCAATGGCATTGCAGTGCTGTAACGCCAATCCTACATTGCACCCTATGAGCTTTCTATACTACAAAGAAACATAAATCTCTATTCACTGGTTAAGTCACTGCAGCAGGTTTCTGCTCTATGCAGCCAAATATAGTCCTTCACCGATATTCCCACCAAACATTCATTTATGAAGCCCTTCTTGGGCTGACTGCTGGCCTCTTTAGCCACACCTCTAACCCTTGTTAGTATTATTTAGGACAGACTTCTAGCAAGAGAGCTTCAGAACAGATTAAGGAAGAACTTTCAGACTGCTGTGGTGGCTTGGCATTCGCAGAGGGTTTTGAAGCAGGTCTGAGTGGTACAGGGCTTGGGAAAAGCTGATATGACCCTCAACTCCTTCCTTCCAGAAAACAGCAGTAGTAATGATTGCCACTTGTAAAGGGTCGTCATGGGCTGGGCATCACAAGCATTTTCTGATTTAATGATTCAGTGTGGGCATTACTGCCCCAGATGAATACCCTGGAGCCCATCTAGCTGACTCTATCACACTACACTACGCTGTCATGACCATCGGCTTGGCAAGCCATCAGGGTGGCTCTGGGCAACCCACAGCACCTTTTTGTGTCTCAGTTTTCCTCATAGGTAGAGAAGGGTTGATGAGACCTGCCTCTCTGGGTGGCCAAGAGGATGAAATGAAAACAGTGCGTGGCGGCGCTTGTCTGGGATCTAGATCTCGGAGGAGAGGAACCTGCAGCAATGGAACCAGTGCTGCCCTTGTTGGCGGAACAGCCCTGTATCCCAATGTGGTCAGGAAACATGGGGCCACTAGATGGAGAGCCAGCCCAGCGGTGGGCGCAGACGGGGAGTTGGCCAGGAGGGAGCAGCTTAATTGCTTGGCTCCCGCTGGTGGGGCTGCGAGCTCTGAGGTAGCCCATTTCTCTGGGGCCCAGCTCCTCCACTTTTCACACTCCTGAGGGGCACAGACATAACACAGCTCATCAAATGGCGAGCGCTGGACCACAGGTGTGCTCTTGGGTGGACCCTGCCCTGGTTGAGGGTTTGGAGAGACTCTGGGCACTTTACCAGTCAACCCAGCCCTGGCCAGCACCTGTTCATTAGTTCTGCCTGATATGCGGCCAGCAGCACCCAGGAACCCCAGGTGTTCCCAGAGCCTCTGGCTAATCTGAGTTGCTGCTATGGCCAGGCTGCGCCTATCCCTGGAGTGAGGGCCTTAGAAAGAAGTAACAGAGGCACCTCACCACTCTAGCCCTTCTCAATCATTCCCCTGAGAAAAAAGCGAATGTTCGGCTTCTCTTGGAGCATTCTGATCTTCCCACAAGGCCAGAAGGTCTGGCGCAAGCAGGTCATTTAGTTGTGCCAGAAATGTGGGCCTCAGACCTATGCCAAAGACTAGAGCAGAGGTTCTCAAAGTGTGGTCCACAGAAAACAGCAGCACCAGCGTCACCTGGGATCTTGTTAGACATGCAAATTCTTCGGCCCCACTCCATCTCCAGAAACTCTGGGGGTGGGCCCTGCGGTCTGTATTTTTAAAATCCCACCAGGTGATTCTGATGCATGCTCAAGTTTGAGAACCACTGAACTAGAAGTCAGGTCGGGGTTTCTGTCTCCATCTTCTTCCTTTAGGGCTGTCCCTAGCAGCAAGGTTCCTGCGAGAGGAGGCAGACAGGCAGCTTCTGCAAGTCTGGCTCTGGGCCTGCCTCTGCTGCCCTTGGCTGACTCGGCTGCAGTCTGCTCTCTTTCTTGGGCCCCAGGTTCCTCTTCTGGAAAGTGAGTGGGTTGGTCTAAGCCATGATGAGTTAAGGACCGATACACATATGCGCGTGTGTGTGAAATGTGGCACCAGGGTCTAGGAGGCAGTGAGCCTCACAACAGGGCTGCCTCGTGTGATTCTTCAGTGTCCTGGGGAGAGGATGGTTGAGCTGGGTGGGGCCTGGGAGAGAGATTCCCACGGGATCGGGACGGCTGTTTCCCCTGCAGGACTCGGCCCCAACTGCCTCACTGGTTCCCCCGGTGACTCCTCATTCATAAGTTACTTGCCCATGAATCCTCGTCTGGAGGTCTGTACTTGGGGAATCTTGCCTAAAATAGTTCCCAGTTTCAATCCTTTGCTTCAGAACTCCACCCGCCAGGGGGTCAGGCTCACCAGGTGAGCCTGGAGGAAAGCTGGGCTACCTTGCTGGCTGAGGTCGTCCACGAGGATGATCTCCTTCAGGAAGGCCCTGGGCGCTGTGTCGAGGATGCTGTGCACAGTCCTCAGGAGGGTGGACCAGGCCTCATCATGGAAACAGAGGATGATGCTGGCCGTGGGCAGGCTGTCCTCAGGGTGCTGCTGCAGACACCTGCAGGGAAGAGAACCAGGGAGCCATGAGGAAGAGAAGTCCACAAGAAACACTCCACACTCTCTAACTCACTCCCCATGCCCTGGCTGGTGCTGCTCCCATGACAGGGCTGTCCTTTGGGATCTCTTAAAATTCCCACGTAAAGAGAAACTGTTACACCCCATAGTGCTGCTCTCTGCTATCTCCCAATTCTCAGATCTCAAGAGCTCCTTTATCATTTAATCCAAAGTCCCTCTCATTGCAATTGAGAAGCGTTGCCATCATTCTCAGCAGATGATTGTCCTCATCTATAAAATGGGAATGAATGACAATATCATCAACCTCACAGGGCTGTGGCGAGGCTTAAATAGGACGACGCACATAGTTACGTGTCCAGTAATCTCAACTGTCATCCACTCAATGGCAGGGACACCATTTTCTTTATGTTCCTACAACCTAGCATAGCACCTGGCACACAATTTTTAAATGTTAGCTTTTACTATGTCTTAAAACTTTATTTTAAGTCCCAGGATACACGTGCAGGGTGCGGGTTTGTTACACAGGTAAATGTGGGCCAGAGTGGTTTGCTGCACCTATCGACTCATCACCTAGGTACTCAGCCCCACATGCAATAGTTATTTATCTTGAATGCTCTCCCTCCCCACGTCCCCCCAACAGGCCCCAGTGTGTGTTGTCCCCTCTCTGCGTCCATGTGTTCTTATTGTTCATCTCCCGCTTATAAGTGAGAACATGCAGTGTTTGGTTTTCTGTTCCTGTGTTTGTTTGCTGAGGATAATGGTTTCCAGCTCCATCCATGTCCCTGGAAAGGACATGATCTCATTCCTTTTTATGGCTGCATAGTATTCCATGGTATATATGTACCTTATTTTCTTTATCTAGTTTATCACTTATGGGCATTTGGGCTTATTCCATGACTTTGCTCCTGTGAACAGTGCTGCAACAAACATACGCACGCATTTCTGCACAGCAAGAGAAACTCACCAGAGTGAACAGAGAACTTACAGAATGGGAGGACATTTTTGCAATCTATCCATCTGACAAAGGTCTAATATCCAGGATCTACAAGGAACTTAAGCAAAGTTATAAGAAAAAAACACCACCATTAAAAAGTGGGTTAAGGACATGAACAGATACTTCTAAAAGAAGACACTGAAGCTCTTATTATTTTTATGGAAGAAAAAACAAGGATGGGATGTTTGTGAGTGCCAACAGCATGCCAGATACTGTGTGAGGCCTTTAATATATCACTGCACATTCATCTGATAATTAATCTGTGGGTTGGGCTATCTTACTCCTGTTTTACAGATGAGGAAACTCAGGCTCTGGGGGAAGCCGAGATATCAAATCTGACATTCCTGGCAAGTGGATATTCTACCTTGAAAACTCTCATGCCCTTCCCACTTTGCTGGCTTATGGTTGGATAACCGTGGTGTTTGCAGTTTTCTCTGCTGAGGGGCTGTCTGTGAATAGCATGCTTGGTGTTTGCTTTGCTCTGGGTCTGTTGAAAGCGCATGGGTCCAGAGTGGAACGAATTATAAAAACGTGGTACATGGAGCGGCACGTAGCTCACACCTGCTTACAAAAGCCGCTTTCTTAACGTGTTTCTGAAGCACTTCTGTGTTCCAGCTGCTGCTCAAGCCATGTTCCTCCTTAGAGGGGCATTTGAATAGGGGCCATCTCAAGGGCCCCAAAAATCAGACACCTAAAGGCGTCTGTGAGGTAGAACTGCAGGCAGAGTGACAACCAGGCTGAGGCTGGCCCTGTCTAAGGGCAACACTTCCTAAGAGGTGTCAACTCACGCTGCTCACTAGCTTGGCACCAGTCCTAAGAAAGACAGAAAACTCTCATGCACAGGAAACCCGTGTGTGACTCTCGGGGCAAGATCCTGTGTAGGGGGGAGAATCAAGCCTAGGTAATGGTAAAACAGAATTCCTAAATATTTTTTTAAAACACATAAACATCTCATAAATGAGCTAATTATCTTGTTGGTTTATAGATTTATAAGCTATTTATTTCCATAAAAGATTTGAAGCCACTCAAGAAATACATACAATACAAATACTTAAAATGAGGGTAAAATAAAAATGAGGAGGAAAAGTCAGGAGCTGAGGAACATGAGTCAATGCAGAAAGCCAGCATTTGGAAAAAGAACATAAGTATATAGATTATAAGGGCCTAGGTATTTCTGGAATGAATTTAAATTTGACTCTGAGATTTCTGTAGCCAAAGTAAAATGTTTATTCTGCAACAGAATTATCACTATTAGAGAAGTGTTCTCTCCTCAGGTCTACAAGGGGGCGTGGTTTCAAAGGCAAGAATTTCCCAGCGACATGCCTGACCTGCCTCCTTTCACGTCTCCATCTGGGAGCTTCGAGGTCCTTAGCTTTCACGCTAGCAGGAAGACAGACTGCCCAGGTGAGCCCGTGAGAAGCTATGGGAAGTCTGTGGGCCAGACAAATCAGATGTCAGAAATCAAAGATCAATCACTCCAGCAGAAGTTTAAAGGAACTCCTTTCATAGAACAGAAAACTTGAATGGGACAGGAATAACTCCCAGATTAAAAGAGCTCTCTCTATATATATATCTATTTATTTCTCCTTTTTCTCTCTGCCTAAATAAATCACTTTCTGCAAAACTCTTTAGGGTCTGATATTTACTTAAATGAGCTCACTGCACCTGGCAGGGTCCTCTCCCCCATTCTTGGGTGAGTGAAGGACCGAGGGACCAAGGGCCTGGAAGAACACATCCAATCGGGGAGCTGAGCCTCCCCTGTGTCCTGCAGCCTGGTCTCTTGAGGACCAGCATCAGCTGCCAGGTCTGAGAGCAAGGCCATCTTGTTCAGTGCAGTCAGCTGCCCTCTGACAGCAGCCACAGGGGTGACCCCAGAGATCAGCAGAAGAACTGCCTGGCTGAGTCCAGTCCAAATTATAGAACCATGAACACAGAAATGGTTATTGTTTGAAATCACTAATGTTTTAATAATATTTTTATTGAGATACAATTCATATACCATAATATCCGCCCTTATAAAGTGTACAGTTCCATAGATTCAAGTATAAAGGTGTGCAGCCATCACCGCTATCTAATTTGAGAACATTTTCAATACCTCAGCCCCCAAAACCTGCTACCCATTGGGAGTCCCTCCCCACCACTAACGCAACCACCACAGCCCCTAGCAACCACTAACCTCCTGTCTTTATAGACTTGCCTAGTTTGGACACTTCAAATGAATGAAATGACATAACATGTGGCCTTTTGTGACTGATTTCTTTCACTTAGCATAATGTTTTCAAGGTTCATCATGTTGTAACCTGTATCAACACTTCATTTCTCGGCCCAATATTTCATTGTTTGAGTATACCACATTTTGTTCAGCCATTCATCAGTCGATGGACATTTGGGTTGCTTCTAGTTTGACTTATGACTAATGCCACTATGAATATTCATGTATAAGTTTTTGTGTGGATGTGCTTTTAATTGTCTTGAGTCTATACCTAGGACTAGTATCACTGGTCATGCATTAGCTCCATGTTTAACATTTTGGTGAACTGCCAAACTGTTTTCCAAAGCAGTTGCGCCATCTTACAGTCCCATCAGCAACGTATGAGGATTGCAATTTCTCTACCTCCTTATCAGCAGTGTCTTTTTTATTTCAGTCGTCCTAGTGGGGATAAAATGACATCTCATTGTGGTTTTGATTTGTATTTCCCTAATGACTAATGATTTGAGCATCTTTTCATGTGCCATTGACCATTTTTATGTCTTCTTTGAAGAAATGTCTATTCAAATCCTTTGCCCATTTTAACATGGAGTGCTTTGTTGTTTAATTGTTGGGTTGTAAGGGTTCTTTTTGTATTTTGGATACAAATCTCTTATCTAACATAGGACTTACATTTTCTTCTACTCTTAGATTGTCTTTTTCACTTTCTTGACAACATCCTTTGAAGCACTGAAGCTTTTAAATTACCTGTTTTTAAAAATCTACTAAGTTTTGACACGGTGCATTATACAGCACTACATTGTGGACACACTGTCCCATTTTTAAGACGAGGAAACTAGAGCCCAGAGAGTTTAAATGACTTGTTTAAAGTTATACAGCAAATAGCTAAGAGTATACTGCCAATGACCTATCTATATGCCTATCTATCTATCTATCTATTGCCATCTTGGACTACAGTGCTAGCAGAATGGTCTGGATTCAGAGTCATAAAGGGACATGATGGAAGGTTATTTGAAAAACATGCGATCCATCAGTTCCTCCACACTTTCTGCACTGTCTACGCTGATTCCTTAAGGTCTTAGAAAGGCAACTTACTTGTCTGCCCCCTCCCCCATCTGGGCTGCCTGAGAAATGTGCTTACAGGGAGTCATGCTTGTCGTCACGCTCTCAGCTTGTATCAGGGGACAATGTAAGAATCATTTTTAGGAAGCTGAGGGAACCTATTAAGGATGTTGTCCTCCTGTCACTGGTTATCCCCACTTTGAAGCTTTGGGAGAAAAGTCCTTGCAGATATAAGTGCCACAAAATACTTTCCTTCATCTGAGCAACTGGTGTGCTTCCCTCATGAAGAATAACAATAAAAATACTGTCTTTTTTTATTTTTCAGTGTGGCTGCCAGGAAGCTCAGAGTAAGGAAACAGGATATATATTCATTGAGAAGGCTCTAGATAGGCCTGCCAATCTCCATTCTGATTTTCTCTTTCATCTTCACCCTCCATCTTTCTATCAAGTTATTTAACAGATATTCATTGACAGCCTATTATGTGTTAGGACTGAAAGATGAATGAAATAGACATGATGCCTGAAGCACAATCTGTGGTGCCCCTGCCCATATCCCCTTGGGCCATCTCATTATAGTACAGGATGGCCCAACTTCTAATGGCCCTAAGGGTTTCTCTGGCTGACAGGTGTGATCTCCCAACCAGAGTATCCCTGAAGAGCTGGAAAATTAACCCCCACCCTAGCCTAGTGAGCTGTGCTCATCCAGGGATTAAAAAGA